CTACCGCCCGCAGGCCACATGCGGGTGTTTTTGCCCATTTGTATTTTTACTTCAAAATAAGATGTGTGCAGTGTGCATAGGCATTTATTCATAGTTTTTTTTTTTTTTAACTATAGTCTGGCCCTCCAACGGTCTGAGGGACAGTGAACTGGCCCCCTGTTTAAAAAGTTTGAGGACCCCTGTTCTAGAACACCTCCTGAAGGACCCACCTGAGGCTGTTTTGCAGTTAACTTTTTTTTTTTTTATGAGTAGAAGTACATGTTAAAATAATGACAAATAGAATAGTAAATGCACAAATCTGATAAATCTATAATATTGTTGTTTATTATCATTATCAAGTGTTATGTACTGCACATAATTACATGTGCTAGACTTTTACAAAACTCGCAGTGCAGGTTTGTTTGCACCAGCATCACCACAAACACCTGAGTAATACATTGCACTATGACACTGTGACAACTGCAATGTCATTGGGTGCGACAGGAATTTTTCAGCTCCATTATAATCTTAGGGGATCACCATGATACATGTACCTGCTGTATGTGGCTCATGATTGTATTTTATTGCAAAGCTTGGGTCTTCCGATCTCCATCTGGTAGAGGATTGAGTAGGGGTAAGAGGTAGAGAGTAGTTTATGAAAAACTAGCCCTGAATGATGAAGAGGAGGGAGACATGGCTATGGGGATTTTGTACCTCCCTTCCCTCCCTTTCCGTCACCCTGGGGTTAAGGGCAGAGGAAGGACAAATCCCCAACTGATGTACCTGGGAGTGACCAAAGACTGGCAAAGGTAGAGCTTGTCCAGTGCTCTTGTGATCCACAGCAATGCGTGTCTGTTGTCCTGCCTGCCCAGAATCTTCTTCACCCCCTTTTGGGAGAAGTGCTCCCCTTTTGGAGTCTGGGTGAGTCCCACCGCCTCTTCTCTTGGTCCACAAGGCGTAGCTGGTGCCGAGTGGAACTAGCGGAGCAGACATGTGATCCAGCCCTTTGGCATGTGCCATCTTTGGGCCTTGGTGAGGACGCCCATACAGGCCCGCTCAGAGCCAATACAGGGACTTTGCCGTTGCAACTGGAAAATAGACGCTGGCTTTCTACTGGACTTGGAAATTGCCAGAGCAAACCTCAAGGAGAAGACCCGCCTGCAAAGAGCAGGGCGGGGCCAAGGAAATTAAGAGACAGGCCGATCGAATGCCTTGTTTGAGCCCTTGAACCCAGGTCTCCATGAAGTTCCTTTTACCACTCGGACCTGATGTTACTATGAGCCAGTGAATTCCTCCGTTCCACTGGAGTGAAATTCCTCTGCTCACCATTTATTCTTGGGCAAAGAGCAGGGGCTGAAAAAAATATGTTTTGAAAAAGACATTGAATGAAAAGTATCTCTGATCTCATCTGTAAGAAGTGGAAAAGATGTGCTGATGTGTTTTCCATTGAGCTTCGTAATACAGGCTGTTTAAATTCTAGAACAGTCTTACTAAGTACTATAATATAGTGCAGGTCTTTAATGATTAATGCAGCTTTTGTGGGCTGGCCTACAACCAATTAACAACTGAACTTTTGAGATATAACCTCGTCCATCTGTTAGGGCTTGCCTGTGTTAAAAAAGAAGTCATTGACAAGACTATGTCAGCTGTGAATACTATACGATTCTTTCTAATGTCCTTCCACCAAAAACCAATGAGTAGGACCTAAAATTATAAACCAATTATGCTATGGCTGTGATCTCCACTCTACTTCCTAAACACTAGGTTGTACATATTTAAAGGGGTAGGAGACATTCAGTATAAAAGGTATTTCATTTTACCTTTCGTAGAAAAGGTACACTGAATGTGTGCACAACTGAAATGTATATTTTCATTGAAAACAAAAACATGTTATTTTTTAAATTCAGGAATAATAATGTTTTAATGTCAAAGGCTTCCTTAACCAGAATTTTACATTTTCACTGGACATGAAAACCTAAGCTACTTTGTTTTTTCAGGAACAATAATTTTTTAATGACAATGACGTTTTTTGCCTGCAGGGTCATAAACAAATATAAGCATACTTACCTTAGGAAAACAAAAGAAATTATCTTCATCAACTTTACATAATTTCTGCAAGATCTCCGGGATTTCCCAAACGATGTTCTTTGGAACCATTAACAGGTGTCTTACACACACACACACACACACACACACACGCACGCACACAATTCTGCAGCCCAATAAGATTGGGAAACGTTACATATTTAATATTACTGCCCTGAAAACTCTCAAGGCACATTAGCATAATTCAGAATGTGAGATGATTACAGTAGAGATAACTGTTCAAATTACTTTAGCCCAGCATTTCCCAAAGTTAACTTCCTCAAAATTAATGACAATAAATCTTTTCCCATTCCGGCCCCACCCGCAAACCCCCATTCCTCAAAGCAACTTTTGGAACAATTAGTGGAGCTAGTTCCGTAAAGCGAAAGTTTGGGAAACACTAGATTCGTGGTTTCTATCTACACAGATTTTGCTGTCTGAATAATATGGAAGGAATTTTGAGTGACAATTGCACCCATTTGGATAGATCTTTCAACTGACTCCATAATTACAAATTTGAAATGCAAATTTTTCAAAAGCAAACTGTCTTTACCATTTTGACGTGTTGCTGAGAGTTATTTGGTTTTGTCTCTATAGTATTCTCATGTTACTTTCTAGTATGTATGGGATAGGTAACAGGCTCAAAAGACCTACAAATATGGAACACAAATGCAATTAACTATGTCTAAATTTTATGTATACACAGGGCCTTGACAATTTTAATATGGCAAATATATTCTTTCCTTTTTGGGGGATGTGGGGGGGAGATAACACCTCTTGGGAAAACTGGGATAATGGAAGCTTCTTCATTTACACTCTGTCCAAGATGTATAATATGGATTCATGTTATTATGAGTGAAGACATAAAGCCATTGCTATTGAACTTCAGATGCGGCAGCAGAGAATTAAGAGATCATCATCACTTCTCTCTAAATATAATGAAAATCTAACTTTCCAACACTCCTCTTAAACGAGCTTTCCTCATGCTACTTGGCTATGCATTAAATCTTGGCATACACAAAAAAATAAAAACAGGGTAATTCTAACAGTTCATTTATGTTGGCTGGATTATGAAGATTAACTTCTCAGATGGTGTTCCAAAGAAGTCATCAAACGTAAGTACAATTGAAACTAAAACCCTGAAAAACATTTCAATATTGATAGGAAACTGAAGACAGGATATAGTTGAGACACCACTCTTAGCTGCCTGACATCGGTGTATATCACAAAGGATTAAAAAGTTTAATTCTCTAGGGAACATAATAGAGATTTCAGGTTCAGCAAGGCATGTTTTCTGGAAATAGTATAATTATTCTCATGGCTGAAGCACACGTGAGGAGTATACGGGTTTAATGCAATTTCAATTTTAGGTCATTTGTGCTGAAGATGCTATTAAATGTGATAAATTGGGTTTATTATTAAGTCTCTAAAGCATTCTAACCCCAGGCCTTATACAGAACAAGCTTCCTTTCTCCAGAGTAGCCCTATGTTATATAATGCAGTGTTTTGCCAAATGTGGTGTGCATGTCCTTGCTGATATATATGATGATTTTAGATGGCCCAGGAAGTATTTTCTGTTTTAATAATGAAGATGATTATGAAGATAACATAAAAACAGCTTCCACTTACTAAGCACTTACTGTGTGCCGCCAAGCAAAAATTCTAGTATGTTAACTTGAATGGTCTTCACGAGACCCCTGTTCGGCAGCTGCTCTAGAGGCACAGGGAGGCTAAGTAACTTGCTCAAAATCCCCCACCCGGACATGGGCAGAGACAAGATTCAAACCCAGGAAGTTTGGAAGAGAGGCCACATTTTGTCATTTTACGGATATAATTTTTGTTAAAAGTGAATTGGCTTAAAAACTGTTTTAATTGGAAGTCTGTGGATATACAGTCATGCAAGTTAGGTGAATGATCTCCAGCCAACACGGCTACAACACATACATCTGTGTGGGAGGGGGAAAGAATCTAGACATTCAGCATCCTTAAGGGCTAGGAAATGACTGTCACCAGGCCAATACCAGGACAGATCCTTGGGTGAAGGAGCTGCTGCCAGAGATGGAAGGTTCCAGTTTTCGACTTACCTGCTTTTGATTTCACCCAGAAAATTCTCTTGTTTCAGTTAGGAAATCTTCCTACTTTTACATGTTTCTAAGACATCACACAGTCATATGTCTAGGGGAAATATAAATAATTCAAATAACTCTGAAAAAGAAAGGCCTCGGTTATTGTATATTACAATTCGAGAAAAAAATTAAACTTAAGAAAAAGCTGACAGTCAGATCAGAAGCATTACAGGAAGTTTCTTGTTCCTTTTCTCCAGAGGTTAAACTAGAATGTATTTTTTTTAAAAGGGCAGAAGTTTAAGGTCTAGCTAGGGAATAAAGACATGTTTTGTCTGACACTTTCCAATTCAAATCCAACATTTATCAAATGATTCTTAAGTACTGTATTAAAAAAAAAAAACAAAAAAAACAGCCAGGAGCTGGCAGCCTGGGTATATTAAGCTTTCATTATTGTAAATTTGTATTTTAAAAACCCAATATCTTTTCTGTAAATATGCAAGGGTTTCTCTGACAATTTTTCTTTTTGTAAAGCTACCTCTCACTGAAACATTTTAAATAAAACTCCTATATCTAAAATGAAGTCTTGGCATTTGGGAGTTTAAAATCTCCCCAAATTCGGGGGGGAAGCTGCATAATTATAGTTCATTTGAGTGCAAGTCATAAAGTAATAAAAAAAATGTTTAAAACTAAAAAGTAACATCTTAGAGTGGCATTTAAAACAAAAAAAAAGTACTTACTGGCATTTTAAAATTTTTCATGCAATTTGTTATTCATTAAATCAGAAGAAAATGTGCACTACCGTTTTTTTTTTTTTTTGATAAGGCAAATAACATTCAAAATTGGCATTAACTAAACACAATTGGCCACCACTATGTGAAAAACCAAATGCTTTAATGAGGCTATCAAGAACAAACAGTTCAATTATTCCATTGGATACATTAATATCGATCCATAATATACAGTGCTATGGACCACACAGAAATTATTGCTGTACCCAACAGCAGGTGACTATTATTAACATTACAGTACCAAGAGTCCACAAGAGACAGTCATTTGTCATTTTTATCAAGAAATAGGGTTTTTTATACTGTTATTGACATCAACTTTTTCCCAGTGCATTTTTAAAAAATATTAATAAGTGCATTCCTTTGTGCTTTATTTTATATCTGTTAACTTCCTATGTATTTTATTTGTTCTTATTGCTTTATTGTTTAAAAACAACCAGAAAGAACTTCGTCACCCTACGTATGACCAGGTTGGTTGTACGGTTTTTGGCAAAGTCAGAAGGTTTGGTATTTCCATTGCCCTACCCAGAGGCAGGTGGACAATTCTGGCATTTTGGTCTCTCCAGATGGAGGCTCAACCCCGAGTCACAGTTCTGCACCCAGGGATGGGGGGAGTGGTGTGGATCACTCTCTAGTCACAAACGACAAGCCCAAACCACTGCCTCTTGGCTTCACTAGTCCCTAAAATGATTCCACACTCTATTTGGCAACAAAGAAATAAATAAAACCACCCTCAAGCTTGCAGCATTCTCCCAGGCTTGCTTACCTGCCACTTTTAGAAATTGTCTCTTAAGAAGCAGGGGACGGGGAAGCAGGCATTGGCCAAGCCAGGAGTTGCAAGAGTCGGGGCAGCAGTACAAGATGCCAATACTTCCTCTCAACAGCGCTTTCTGCGAGGTTGCTTAACGGTGGCCATATTCCCTTGGCCGTGGCTCAGTCAACCTTCATTATTAAAAAACCCTCAAAGTCAGCTAAGGAAAACTAGCATCATAGCATCACGACCTCTGGCGTTCGTATCCGGCCCCCTCCCCCCCATATAAATATGAAGAGAAAAATAGACAATGCTATGATTGTATCGATGAACACTATGGTACAAGGAGCTGTTCATGCAGAGTCGAAGCACTATTCTAGGAAAAGAGCTATACAATTAAGGGGGCTGAAAGAATGGGAACTAATTTTCCCTACCCCCTTAAGTAATAAAGCTATAAAACTGATAGCATCCTCAATGTTTCCAAGGATTCTCATTGCCCACTGTGCATGGGAACTATGCAGCTGATTATGTTCACCTAAACCATCATCCATTCACACATCTGACAAGCACTCCTTTCTCTCCGAACCCTCCATCACCCATCACCAATTCACGTTTGACATTTAAACACTTAAAAAAAAAAAAAAAACCCTCCTGAATAAGGTTTCCTGATGAAAGAAGTTGGCACTCTGTCACTAAAATATATTTAATATTAAAAATATCTGAAGGAAAATTGGAAGCTCTTATATTGTCTACATAGGCACCATGCTACATGTTCCTCTTGACTATAGATACCATCTTGAAACTTTCTCCTACATTATAGTTCAGTCAGTGCTAGTCTGAAAAAAGACTACTGCTATATGTAAGGCACTTCATTCTGAATGGATATGCTTTATGCAACTTGCAATTCAATTGTAGGCTGCTACTGAGACATCCCATTCAACAGCCTGGCTCGTAACACTATATGGCATCTGTATAAAACATCTAGGCTTGATACATGTGACACTACTGTTATTGCATAGGACTACACAAGTAGATAATGCACTGAAACTAACTTTACAACATTGCTGCTCAGTTAAAACATTGTTATTAAGTAACAGTAATTTGCCAATACAGTATTTCTCTCTTTAAAAAAAAAAAATTCAGCAAGTTTGCTGAAATAAACCCCAATTGAAATGACCATAATGGGCACATTAATGCTATGGTTATCAGTCTCCAAGAATATATTGCTATTTTTTATATCCTAAAAATAAATATGTAAGTTTATTCTTTCTAGAAAGCCTGGTTTTAACCTATTAATACTATACCTTAAATGTGTCAAAAAAACAGTTCCGGAGTGAGACTGCAATATACAAAATATTCGCAAAGCTCTCTTTAAACACAAGACCTTGCTTGCATAAAAGTTTTCTTTCGTGGGTGTACAAAGAATGCGGAAAACCACCAGTGAGTTGTAAAAATATTGAAAACTTGCCATTTTAAGATGCATCTTCTTACAAATTAATACAAACATATTGAAAAGAACGATGATATTAAAGAATCTGTACAAATCAAATGAACAGTAAAACATAATTTAAAAATAAAAATAGTAAAGCCAATTAGAAATATGCCCAGTTTGGCTTTCTTATCAAAAGCAAAAATGAAAAAAAAAAAGTAAAGCAAACTTTTCAGTGCTCCTCAATATTTTACTCTGAGAGGACGTTTATTTCCATTTCAAAATAAAATATATCTTATGAAAAACTTAATCACACTCATGGATAAAGAAAACCAGAACAGCACAGAGTGAAGATTAGACTCTATGTTTCAGAGCCTTGGTCTAACTCCCTTTAATTTCAGTTGGCATCAATTACATTTTCTAACTAGACAATCCTCATAAAAGGCTGCAGTTTTGTTTGTTTTCTCTCTCTCTCTCTTTTTTTTGGTCTTTTACAGAATATAGTATTTCTTTAAATAGTTTGCAGTATAAAGACTAAACAATGCTAGAAAGGTACTGTATCTTTAAGGCAGTACCCATGAATTAATTCATTTATAAAATGGAAAAGGGTTAGTATGGATTTCTTTTCCTCTTTCTTTCTTTTCTTTTCTTTTTTTTTTGGTTGCTTTACATTCTTTCAATTAAATGTTACATTTAATTTCCAAGGAAGTCACAGGCATAAAAATCTTAAATCACGTTTCCCCTGAATAAAAATGGACAGGCATTGCTCTGATGCAAAAATCCTCTTGCTCAGAAAGCTAAAGTCCGTGGTGCATTCGGTTCACAGATACTGCACACTCAGCTGTACAATACTTTGGAGGCATTTGTAGTTGTAATAGAATCGACAAGTCCGTTTCACAAAATTCTAAAAATAAAATATATCCTGGGCTATTGATAAAGCATGAAAAAAAAAATTTCATATTAAAGGAAAATTATCAAGAAAACCCCTTCAGGTAAATTATTAAATCTACTAATCAAGAAAGGGAGCAGTCCGGGAGGGCGCGGGGCAGGGCGGGCTCGCTAGCAGGCATGCTCCGTCTCCTCCATGCTCATGCTGCTCCTCCGGCTGCTGGTTTTGGAAGCTCCCGGGGACACGGAGGAGAGGAGCGGGTCAGTTACGCCGACAGGAGACAGCGTATCGTCCATCAGGATGTCTTCCAGTTTGGATCCCATTTTCGTGGGGACGCCGTAGGCTTGGCTGCCCTCGGCGCCGGGCCCGAGGCTGCTGTTGAAGGTGATGGTGCCATCCGTGAGATCGAGGGTCGTCGTGCAGGTCAGGTCCGCGTGGTGCTGGAGGAGGTCTTGGTTGCAGTTCTCAAGGACGGGCTCCTGCTTGATGATCCGGTTCACCAAATCCGGGGAGCAGAGACCCGCCGATGGAATAAGCGAGAGTCCGTGAGCGCGAGCCTGCATTTCGAGTTCCTAGAATAAAAAGTCAAAGTCAAACAACGCTGAACTAGGCAGAGCACAGAGGGGTTTTTTTAGGACAGTGACACTACAAGGGTTGGTGTGTGTCAGCATACTTTTGTCCAGACCCTTAAAATGTAGAACACCAAGAGTGAATGAATGTAAACTGTGGGCTTTGGAGGACAATGAAATGTCAGTGCAAGTTCACGGATGCTGATCCAAGCCCCCCTCTGGCGGGGGTGCTGATGACGGGAGGCCTGCGTGCGGGGGGCAGGAGGGACAGGGGAGATGTCTGCGGCTTCCTCTCAACTTGACTGAGAATATAAAACTGCTCTAAAGAGTAGTCTATTTAAAAAAAATCAGACACTAAGAAGGAAAACAATAAATTCTTAAAACGCAAGCGTTTTGCTCTTTTTGATGAATAAACTGCATCTCCTCAAGGCCAGGAGAGGTGTCACTGGTACGGAAATGAATTTTTAGGTGTCTCCTGGATTGTATTATGTATTGAAAATAGAGACAGTCTCTCAGATATTAACGTTCATAATGAGGATAAGTTTAGGAATATAAAAATGAAATTTTTAAGTGTGAGCTGGTAAAAGAAAAATATCAAGTAAATAGTAATATAGTTTCATAGTCCCCAAACTGTGAACTGAAGTACCCAGGGGTATTGCGGTGAACTCGCAGGGCACTAGGAATATTTTTAAATTTCAAGGGCAGTAATGCTACTACCTCAAGAACTACTAAAGTCACTTTCAGCATTAGATTGTGCTACATACTTTTCGAGCACATCATCACATCCTATCATTGCAAAGCTGGGCTTCTGTCAGTTGCTGCGATGAAAAAACAACAACAACAGAACAAAAACAAGTGCTGCATGAAGATCAACGAGGACCGGGATGTAAGTGTGGTGGCATCCAATCCCATTTCAAGGCTTTAGAAGTTGTGCAGTGCCCAACAGGCACACATGTCCTGGTAGTAATTAATGCAGTTATTTAAAAATAAAATAAAAATGCGATTTTCCTCTCAATTTATATATTTTATTTTTTCAAATGGCTACTAAGTCATTAGAACCCAAATACTTAATAAGTCGTCTGAACCTAACAAAAATGGTAGGTTTTTCAGACACTAAGGGCAGCATGAATTTAAAAAGTTTGTATAGTGATGCAAAAGTTGTGAAGGTCCTGTGCAAGTGGCTAAAGTTTTAGAAGCATCATTTAGCCATCTCACCAGAGCAAAGGAAAATTATTATTTTTTTTTAATTCAACAAGTAAGTTCTCATCTATAAGATAAATAATTTCTTCCTTTACTGCTTTCACACGACTTTCTATTATTATGGGCTGAACTCTATACACTGAAGTCCTAACCCCCAATACCTTGGAATGCGATTGTATTTGGAGATAGAGCCTTTAAAGAGGTAATTAAGGTAAAATAAGGTCACACGGTGGGCCCTACCCCGACAGGACTGGTGTCCTTATAAGAAGAGGAGACTGGGACACAGACACACAGAAAGGGAGGACCATGGGAGATACAGGGAGAAGACGGCCATCTACAAGCCAAGGAGGAAGGCCTCAGTAGGAACCTGCTGACATCTTGATCCGGGTCTACTGGGCTCCAGAGTCCTGAGAAAACATAACCACCTCCGGCTGTGTAAACCCCCAGCTGGCAGCACTCTGCCACAGCAGCACTAGCTCATACACTTCCTGAATGTCAGTGGCTCCCCAGCAACTCATTCCAAAATGCCTTCCTCGTTCCACGCAAGCTCTTTCCCTCTTTCCTTTCTGAGTGTCCCTGGGAATTCCTGAAGTGAACCGTGGAGACCCCAGCTTGTCGCCGACAAGCGCTGTGCCTCTACAGTCCAATGCCTTTCTATGTTTACGATATGGTAATATACAAATAGGGCATACATTTGAAGCAAGTCACTTGGGCTCATCAGAAAGGGACCACGTGACACGGCCTCTCAACCTGTGCCCAAAAGCCTAGAATGCATGTGCCCGAAAAAAGTCATTTCGGTCCGCACTCAAGGCTGCTGGCTCTGCAAGATCCTTCTCTGTGTGCAGTTCAAGTACGAGCTGGGAGCCTCGCATGTCACCCGAGTGCCTGCAAGTTCCTTTACACAATGCCCAGGAACACGAGCCTCTCCAGGCATCATTTTAAAGCCCTGGGCTGTTTAATAAAATGGCAGTTCCACTGATATTAAGACTTCATGCTCTTTCTTCTGTGAACGTTTTTGCATGCATCACTTAGACTGAAAATGAAAGGAGGCCCTTAGGCCCAGGCTGAAAACGCGGGCCCTTGTAAATCTACACCAACATGCTAATAAGAACAGTACCTTCCACACATGCAGTTTGTCTTTTAAAAATAAAAATAATAATAAATTTAGATGAAGAGAGGCAAACATCTTAACTCCAATCCTTTGTTGTTTAATTAAAAATGTTTGTCAGCTGATCAGAGCGTTACTTAGATTTCTAAATAAGGTGACGAATCTCATCTGGAGAACTCCAGATTCGCTGCATCACAGAGCTTTCCCAATTAATAATGTTTTCTACGATATGCGACAGTTCTAAAGGCTGCCTCACACCATCACTGGAAGGAAACCAAGATATTGTCACCATGGAATTTCCAATGCATATATTTCACAATATTCGGATTTCGCATGAATATACATGTTTGGAACCTTAAAATAAAACAAAACCGAGCTTCTTTTTCCAAATAGTTATTACATTTTAATACTTTGTATAAGGACATGACACATTAGAACAAGCTGCTTTTATAAATGGGTATACTAAGTTCAAGAGATTAAATACCTATGGCTGCTTAATGAAGAGAGGGAGCACGAGACAAACAACAAAAGCCAAAGAAGGTGAGGGGAAGGGGAAAGGAGGATTTGCAAATTACATATGACCCCTACTTCACTACCCAGATTCTAAAACGCAGCCCTAGAGAAGAGCCACCTTCTGCCTCCCTGCCCTGCGGCTGAGGGTCGCTGCAGGGAGCCAGCATGTGGCATCTCGAATTGCAAGTGCTGGGGAGCTTTCAGAAGCACGGAGACCACTGTCATAAACGAACTGCTCTGCTCAGTAAGTTCCACGTCCGGGGTGGACACCACTAGGTGAAAACACGACGGTCTCTAAGGTGTCATCCTTTGCATTGTCGCGCCATAAAACTTAACTCCACAAGTATTTAACGGTTGCCCTGGAAATCTGAAAAACAACCCTCGCTCTACGGCAAAACCTAGCAAAGGGTGGGTCCCTCTACTCGAGAAGATACAGTGCCACGGTATAGGCTGCATTCAAAGTCAGCAAGTACGTTAAAATCACCCTTGCGAACCTCTTCTGGCAATAACACAGTCAGTTTTGGGGGACAGCTTCATAGGAAGTTGGTTCTTTGCATTCAGCGTGAGAGGCTGAGCGCCTGAGAGGGGCACTGGGAGCTGATAGGGAAGAGGGACCCCCACCTCCTGCTCACACGGGTGCACATACTCACGGAGTGAGGTGTTGGACGAAGTGCACATCGATAAAATTAATATGTCTCCTTCTAAAAGCGTATAGTTTAAGTTAGAGATACACACAGTGTAATTCCACTATCTATACCTATTCTGAGAATTATGTCCTTATATATATATAACATCCTCCAGGTATCCCCAAGTTCCCTGTCAACACGGGCTTTGAGCATTGACTGCTTCCCCATCCTGCAAATACTAAGGCTTCTTTAAAATTTAACAAGTTCAGGCCGGGCGCGGTGGCTCACGCCTGTAATCCTAGCACTCTGGGAGGCCGAGGCGGGCGGATTACTCAAGGTCAGGAGTTCGAAACCAGCCTAAGCAAGAGCGAGACCCCGTCTCTACTAAAAATGGAAAGAAATGAATTGGCCAACTAAAAATATATAGAAAAAATTAGCCGGGCATGGTGGTGCATGCCTGTAGTACCAGCTACCTGGGAGGCTGAGGCAGAAGGATTGCCTAAGCCCAAGAGATTGAGGTTACTGTGAGCTAGGCTGACGCCACGGCACTCACTCTAGCCTGGGCAACAAAGTGAGACTCTGTCTGGCAAAAAAAAAAAATTTCAGCTAATGCTCATTACGTTACATTCTATAAAGTCCCTGTGAACCCTGAGTTGGTGGGTACTGAAGCATTGTTCCTAGGGGAAATGCCAGGTTAGGTTCCTGAGAGCCTCTGCTCATAACACTTAACCTTGTTTCTGCTTAAAGTCCTCTTCTTTAATATATTTATTGATTAGCATTGAACTCGCAGCCAGGAGCACCATAGCTCACACCTGGGCGGAGCTCACCGCTCACCTGCGTTTTCTCTGTAAGGCGCTCCACAGCCTCTTGCCCTTAGGAACACTAGCCAGCACTTCAGCCCTATATTCGGGGGTCATTTTTAAATGGTGAAATCAGCAACAGAAAACACACGATTATAGAAAACACGAGAGTTGGCAGACCACGGAAGAGACACTTATTTATAGTACAAAAGCTGAGACAAGAAAGGACAGCATTCCCATCGGGCAGCGCTGTTTGACCTCACCTAGAAATGAGCGCAATGGGCAACTCGAATTTGTACACATCCGAGAACCACCGTGGACACGCCACCGACATTCATTTTGAGGTTACAAGCAGGCAAATTCACACACACAGGACCCACGAATAAGAAGGAACGACTATATTAGGATCGTGTGAGTCAGCTCCCCTATGGCTCATTATATTTTCCCTTCTCCATCTAAAAGCAGTAGCACGCGGGGAACTTCACACAGCGCACGCCACGCACCTGTATTCTGAGCAGCAGGTGCCGGTTGGCATGCTCCAGTTTCTTCTGCCGGTTTTCAAGTTCCTTCGCGCGTTGCTGTTCTCGTTGCAGCTTCCGGATGTAGTCCACGGATGCTTTTAAAATGGTTCCCTTGTTCCAGCGCATGTCTCTGATGGAAAAGGAGGAAAACAGGCTGTTTTCAGGATTCAAGGCGGAATGAAACTTTAGTATTCAAAGCATTCAATTTCTAAAGATGCGGTAAAGACTGTGCATTAATAATGGCTATCGTTCATTGAGTGCTTGTCACGCAAAGAATGCTGTGTGCCATTTGGCATACATTACCTTACTTAACCCAGACAAGCAGTTTGCAAGGTAGAGACACTGTGTGTATGTTGAAACAGAGACAATTCACCGTCTCTTTTTTTTTTTTATCATGAATTATCTATCACGGGCAGATTATCTCTCCGTATCCATTCCCTCGTCTCAAAACTATGATATCACACTGGTATAAGTAGCCTCATAGGTATGATATTGGAATCAAAGGAAGCACTTTATACAAATGTGCTGTGAAAAGTTAAAAACACAATTCAACTGATGGAGTAGGCACGGTGTTGATAATAACAGTGATCTGTCAATGCCATTTACTACGTTCCAGGTACTTTTTAAAGTGTTCTACAGTTCATTTAATCACAACAATCTCAATGGGTAGGTACTAGTATGACTCCCATTTTACTGATTGGAAACTAAGGCACAGAGAGGTTAATCAATGTGCCCAAGGTCACAGAGCTAGGCAGTGGCAGAGCCAGAAAGCCTAGAGAACCTGGCTTTAGACCCCCTGTTCTAAACCTCTACATCATACTTCCTCTTACGTGATTGAATCCTCAAAACAATTAGACTAGGTAGGATAATTCCGATGTTCTCTTTTTTAACAGATATGGAAAATTAAGCACAAGAATGCAGACATCTTCCACAAGGCCAGACCCCTAGTAAGGACCTGTTCTGGAATTCCAACCCAGGCAGCCTGAGCTTGGTGCCTCTCGGTTCTCAATCAGTTTAGCTCTCATGTACTCATATATGAGAAAATTAAAAACACAATTAAAAGGTAGGCGAAAGCACCTTAAAAAATTTAGAGCACTCCAGAAAAATAATAAAGAATGAACTATCATTACAACATTAAGAGTAATGTTTTTGTATGGCTTCGAATTAATCTGAACCTTTTTATAGACAATATTCATCACACTGATGGCAATTATGTTGATGAAAACAAAACTAATTTGCTGTATAGAGAACCATCCACCCCATAATCTACAGCTGCTGAAAGCAGATCGGAAATATCAGGTGGAACCTGTCAATGGAGGGCCATTAAAACAAGCCACCAAGTAATTGATCCTCACATGGGTTAGATGAAGAACAAAACAGAAGTTCCCCCATGAGAGGAGACAGTTCCAGCCCCCAGAGAATTCCCTGGGGTTGATCCCTGGGGTGTGAGCACCAAAGACAGCAACCCAGGGAAGTGTCCTGAGATACCCAGAGAGAGCACAGAGACTTAACATTCAGAGCTAAAACCAAAGTAACAGTAACTTCAGCAGCCAGCGAGAAATGCAATTATAATGAAGGATGCCTTGCCTAGTAGGCCAGCAAGGTGAGAAATCAGTAAGGGAACATGCAAGCAGCCACTCAGTTTTTAAGAAGTGATTATTTCAAGCATTTATCCTGAGTTTTGCTTCCTTGTGAGACCCAATCAATCGATTACATTTCTGGGCTTAAAGGAAGGGTTTTAATTTTTTTTTTCTTTTTGTAATGAGAGGGACTCTTTTTACATACAGAAGTATATACATAGATCTCCAATATATAAAATCAACAAAAGCAGACTTGCTCTGCAAGAAGAAAGGGTATGGGGCTGATCAGTAAGAACATCTCTATAGCAGGCACATTCTAGAAACCCGGTGTGGGAAAACCACCATATAGATTATAGTCTGTTTTATCTTAAAACAATGCCTACAATTAAAGATTGTTATCGGTTCAGATTATAAACACATAAGTATTCTAATACAATGGAGAAAGGAGATATGCAAATAGAGGCTTTCACTGCAGTCCCATAATTTCATAATATGTTACTAAAGAGATTCACATGCTACAGTTTAAAAGAATATGCTAAAAAGTGAAAGCTGATAAAGAACAGGAAAATGGGAATTCAATTTCAACTATCATGCAAGACTGACTATAGGAAATGAAGGTCACAGCCCTTTAGTAGGATAAATTTGTGCTGCAGAACTGAGAATTTGAATGTTCTGAGTTTGAAAATGCCTTTCCTTGAAACCCGGGCAAGCGAAATGTTGCAGATGGAATTGTGCTAGCACATTCCTCAAAACCACCTCACGATAGGTAATGATTGCATTTTATTTTGTTACAGATTCTCTAACAATAATGCAAATAGCAAATTTAATAAGCTTTGCATGAATAATGCTTGATTTTTACATTTTATTAGGTAGCTAAAAGGTCATGTTCAAAGGCTAATTTTATAGAATGCCTGTGGGGCTGTTAAAATGTATATATTCTCTAGTCCTTTAAATGGGCCCGATATCTAATAGATAACAATTTTGTATTTATTGTCCTATTTGCTAATCTTGTAGGCAACTATAAGGCCGGTAGGAAAAGACTTGAGAAAATTATCTTTACAGCTGTTATCTCTGAAAGCTGAAATCCAAATTAGCTGACCTGTACTTAATAAGAGGATTAAACATTACTTTTCCCCCCTTAGATTGGTAAAACACACAAAGAGTATGCAAGTTTTCATAAAAACAATTGACCTCTTTGTCTGTTGAATATCATTAAACTTGAAGTCGCCCATATCTGTTCATCAGTGCCTATTTAGAGATCTTATACAAGTCGAAGAGCAAATAGTCAACAAATTTTACTTTAATAGCTACTCAGTTCTCTGTACTGCAAGAACTGCTAAAAGAAATTGTTTTTAGTAGCTCAGTATTTGTTTGCCAAGAATTCTCAGATTTCAGAAAGCCACCTCCTCATGCCCAGAGCTAACCATCTCCTAGCCAACAATCCTTTTATGCAATTCAGTGCATTTTTCTTGAAATTTTAGTTTGATGAGACTAACCAAAAGAAAAGTTTAAGAAGCATTTAGGAATGGAACCAAAGAAAGAGGCAGACATCTTTACTCTAGTTTTAATAACTGCATATTTTTTTGCAACATATGAAATAACATTAAGGTATGAAAAATATATGATGCAGATTAACATGCAATTGTACTCACGGATCATTTGACTTGGGAATCAAAGTACCTAGTTCTTTAATGCGGTCATTTATGTTAAATCTTCTTCTTCGTTCAACTTAAGAAAAGAGCATAGGAAAGGGCTATTAGTAACAGTGACAGGATGCATTTAGCATATCTCATTAAAGGCATGTGCATATTAACTTCACCAGGTCAGGACAATGGAAACCTGAGCCTATTTTTCCCTTGTTTTTACCATGTCTTTGGTATGAGGTTAAACCACTAAAATAATGAGCTACCTTTGTACAGAACTTCACCATTTACGAAGTCCTTAGACATACACTTTCTCATTTGCTGTTACAACAACACTGAAATCAGAGTGACTATCCTCAGTTGAGAATGAGAAAACCACCTTAGAGATACAGGAATCAGGGACTTAGCAAGGACACCCAGCAAAAAGTGGTAAATAGCACAAACTAGAGCAAGAGTAGGCACACTTTCCAAAGGGCCAGACAGCAAGTACTTTAGCACTCACAGGCCAAGTAGCAAAACTGAAGGTATTATGTAGGTGCTTAACAAAACCAGAGACATAAATTTCCACAAACTTTTTCTTGGCAAAAAAAAATAAATGAATAACGACTGAGTACAATCTTTTTGCAAGACAAGTCTGCAAACGAAAACATTAGAATTTATTTGTGATCCTGGTTTGCGTTTCATATAATTTTCACTTGTTACAAAAATATTAATCTTCTAATTTTTCTCAACCATTTAAAAATATAAAAAATATTCTTCACTCATGGGCCACACAAAAACCCTTGCTCTAGCTCAGTGCTGCTCAATGAAAATATAATACAAGTTACATACAGGTTTAAATTTTCTAATAGCCATATTAAAAAGTAAAGAGGGGTGAAATTAACATTTTGTTAAATTTGTTGTAACCAAAATGTTATCATTTCAACAGGAAATCAATATAAAAATGTATAAAATCAGATGTTTAACATTCTTTTCTTTATACTAAGCTTTTGGAACCCAAAGTGTATTGTATGGTTACAGCACATCACAATTTGGACCAACCACATTTCGAGGTGGCGAGTGGCTGCCGTACTGGATAGCACAGCCCTAGAACTTGAGTCTAGCATTTTTAACTACACTATATGCCATCTTCACAGCATTCCCATATAAATCTAGTTGTAAGTTCAACTAAATCATCATCTTTTAGGGGAGGATGACATACTAAGGCATATGAGACAGTAAATGTTTCTATAATAATTTATGTAGTGTAGCAAATAAATTCCCAACAACTTAAGATCTAAAAAATTGGACTAAAGTTGTTAATATTTTACCTTTTTTTTTCTTTTTCCCCAGACAAAGGTTTCTCTCTGCTGCCCTGGCTGGAGTGCAGTAGTGCGATCAAAGCTCACTGTAGCCTTGAACTCCTGAGCTCAAGCAATCCTCCATTCTCAGCCTCCTGAGTAGCTAGCACTGCAGGTGTGTGCCACCATGCGTGGCTAAGTTTTTTATTTTTTGTAGAGATAGGGGTCTTGCTATGTTACCCAGGCTGGTCTCAAACTCCTGGCCTCAAATGATCCTCGCTCCTCGACCTCCCAAAGTGCTGGGATTACAGGTGTGAGCCACTGTGCCTGGCCAATATTTTACTTTAAATACCCTAATATATATTTATATTTGACCCGTAATATTCTCTACACTTAAATAATGTTCACTGCTTTGCCAATGTATATTGCAGTTTGTCTTGAAAGTATAATTATTCCAATGATTAAATCAATAATATATAATATTGAGTCTTATCATTAAACTTTTATAAAATAGAAACCCTATATGATAGCTGACAGAAGGAATTTTGGGATTCCTGACAGTCCTGCAGAAGGAATTTTGGGATCCCTGATCCACTAACTAACCTTTTCCAAAACTCTGCAGTGGGATATTTTCTTCTTATTTTGTCCAAGAGTAGAATAATCAAAAATTCAAACAATACTGAAATATACAAAGCGAAATAAAAGTCCCCTATGATCCACTGTTAAGTTTCTTATATGTCCCTTACGATGATTTTGACGCTTTGAAAATAACCACACACACGGTAACACAGCTGTGCAGCCGTGTACTGATGAATCTCATGTTTCTATTTCCAGCCCAGACATGTCCCTGGAACTCCAGACTCACGTCTGACTGATTACTAGCTGTCTCCATACACGGGTCTAATGGACAGACCAATCGTCCAGTGTAAGCTCCTGATCTTTTCCACTCAAACCTGTCCCCCTACAGGATTAAGAGCAACCTGCCTCCCTTAACGGTAACTATTAACACATCCTTCCAGTTGTGGAGGCCAGAACTACGGAATCAGCACTGAGCCTCTCTCCCTCTCACATCCCACGTCGGATATATTATCAAATCTGTTAGTTCTGCCTTCAAAATATTTCCAGAGCTTGTCTACGTCTAACTTCCGAGCCTACCCAAGATGCCACTGTCATCTCTTCCTTGGATTGTTTCATCCTCCTGGCTGGTATCTCTACCTCACCCATGCCCCCTGCTTCCGGCCCGCTTGTCTACCCAGAACACAGCATATAGGGGGGATCCTATTAAAACATAAGTCAGAGCACCTCAACCCTTTGCTCGAAACTCTCTGACCACTTTGCACTTCACCTGCAGAAAAGCCCCCCAAGGTGTCCTCCCACCCCGACCTGGTTTCCCCCTCTCCCACTGACCACACCCCCTATAGTGACACACCGTGTCCTTCTCCGTCAGCCCCGCCAGACACACTCGCCATCTGTGAGTACCTGGCCGCCCCGGAACTCTCTCCTCCAGATGCCTGAACGGCCCTGCCCTCACCTCCCTCAGGCAGTGACCCCCATTCACCTAGGAGACTCCCCTGGTCACCCTCTTTGAAACGGGCCCATCACCTTTTGTGCCCATGATGACACTATATCCCCTCGGCTACCCTTTTCCTCCTCGTAGAACCTTCTATCATCTAACACTTCACAGACTTCATTCATTCATCCTCTGTGTTTATTCACTGTTGCGTTCCAAACAACTGCGTGTGCTGAGCGCACAGTAGGTCAGAAAATATGTGCTGAATGAAGACTGATGCGTTTGAGGTGGAGTTACACTGAAAATATCCTGCCTCTCTCTTTTTTCACGCAGCAGCTGATTGTTGACAACTTTCACCGTCGACATTTACATGCACCACTTTTTATTTTTAGTTCTGTGACTTCCTTCCCCAATGATCTATTATAAAGGTGATATAAGCTGGTAAAAGTTCTCAAAAAATACAAAAGCGTATAAAGAAAAACCCAAGTCTTTATAACACCCAAGATCTCTATGCCTAGGGAGACTGCCACTGATCGAGGGGAGGGGGGTGTCCATTTCTTTCCCCACGCACACACGTGTCCATATAAACACACACACACGTGAGCATCTCTCTGCACAGAGTGCTCTTGTCACACAGTGGGACATTGCACATGTTATTCTGCCACTTGATTTTCGCACTCAGTAATATATAGCAGGCGACCCACGGTTCACAGGTGAGAAACCCATTTGTCTGACTCACATTTCGGAAAAAAAAGTGTCTCATACAAAACAGGGACTCAACAAACAATAATGGTGGCTGAATGGATGAGCAGATAAATGAACAATGTATATTCTTTTGCACATTTTGGCAAACATTCTTACAAAATCAATTTGTAGAAAAGGAAGAGCCAGGTCAAGGGGCGATCTAACCTTGAATATTATTTTCCAGTGGTTAGCTGAGACTTTTAGATTGTTTTATAGCCCTCAGAGTTGGAACTAATCATGTTTGCACTTCACTGACAGCCCTGAAGTTGAGAGTTCAGGTGCCTCATTAAAGGTGTCTATTGTTTTTGACAAGATGCAACTTAGCTTTCCCCATCTCTGTTAAGTTTTAGGTAATACCTAATTATCTTATTTCCAAGGTGTTTTACAAGAAGAAATATCTCAGAGTAAAATTACTTGGAGGCTGGTGGAGGCCTTAGAGATACTTAGTCCGTATCTTTGGGTTAGAAGATGAAGAAAAGATGTCAGCTCTTATACCCGACATGAAACTGGTTTTAAAAATAAAAACCAACACCCTCCAGGCCTCAGCAATTCCATTTCTCAGTAACACTAACCTAGAGAAAGAAACTCTCCTATATACAAACAGGCAGGTATAAAAAGGTTCACTGTGGCACTGTTTATAATAGAAAAAAAACTAGAAATAGCATAAACACAGAGCCGTAGGGGAATCACTAAATATCATACACTCACACTGGAAGTTTATGCAGTCATTTATTTAAAGTAGATAGATCTAGAATTCTAATAGTAAAAGATCTTCAGGACATATTGTTCTGTAAAAAGGCGAGCAACAATGGAATATTGGCAATATGATATTATTTGTCTTAAAACATACAAGAACCATTTTATTTATTTTCTGTGTGTATATTCTTAAATACATTGAAAAAGGCCAGGAAGAGCAACACCAAATTAAAACAAATTTGCATATTCCTGCAAATTAAAAGAGAACTTTGGCCTTGTTCTATCACTTTCATAAGGAGAAAGTCTTTATATATGACTCATATTCTTAAAAATCAATTTAGGATAAAGAAGATGAGGGTCTGAAATAAGAAATTCACACACAGACTATTTCCAAACTAATTATATTATTATTATTATTATTACTTTTGCTGTGTAGTTTCTCTGTCTTGTTTCTATTGTAAAAAGAATTAAGTTTTCATAGGAAAAAGTTTAAAGGTTTGATCAAGGTTAAATTAAACACATAAAAAATAGTTTAAATGTTACAGGATTTTTTCTTAACTCTCCAGTAAAGGCAGAAATTTAGGAGGCTACCTCATCCATTTACTCCCCTCCAGATGTGTTTCATTTTTGTTTTCTTTCAAATCTCACTGGAGAAGGTGATCCCATAATCCCCTTTTGTTAATAAGTTCCAGTGTGAGAGATATTTATAATTGGGTAGTTGGGGAGTCTTCCTCTTGCTTAAAAAAGAAAAAAAACACCCAACTTCACTACTATAAACAAGAAAAATAAAAACTCTTCAGGTACTGAACACAAGTATATACATAAAATTCAATTTGATTCGAGATAAAAATGGGGAAAAATATATACCTTAGTTTCTCTGAAATATGATTTCTCCCATAGAAGGTCCCTTTAATCGTTTCTCCCATGGAAGGTCTATTTAATTGCTAGAGAAATCAATTTTCCTCCAACATTTCTGGAAACTTTTTTTGATGTAAGGGAGAACATTAAATCCATATCAAATGTCATGAACATGAATAAAATCAACTTACTCAAGTTGTGATTGTCCTTTTTTTGCCTCTCTTTAGCCAATGCTCTTGCCTCAGACTCTGTGGGAAAAATACACGCTGTGCACATGAATGAAGTCATTAGAAACTGGAACTGTTCAGGGTACAAGCATTTCAACTGCAAAACATCTCATTTCCTAAACATAGAGAAGCCGATCTGACTTGTCTCAAAGTAAAAATACTGTTTTTTTAATGACGCCCTCTTAAAAGCTTGCACTTTTCAAAAGTAATGTATGTCAGTCTGCAAAAACTCGGCTTCCACGAAATGGTAAAAGACCAGTAACAATGATCCGCAGCACACCATAAACATATGCAGCTACTAACAAGAATAAAATAAATAACTAGAAAACTATGGAAATTTGCTGCTGATAGTCTATCATCAGGAGTTAATTTTTCTTTTTAGGCCATAGAACTTTTTCAGTCTTTTTTTTGATGCCTCTGCAACACGCTGATATGAAAACCAAGTTGAAAAGCTCCCAAACTGGATCTCTGTATCCTCTGACTGGTTCATAGAAATGAACTCATTTTTCAGAAACTGGTACCAGACTCCATCAGAACCTGCTACCATTTAATGACTCTTAGGAGCAACTATTTGCTAGTTTGAGTTCTATAAAAAAAAAAAAAGAGGAACAGCTCACAGAGGCATTTGGTGGCAACTCCACTTGGAAAATTCTATTAATATTTGCATAGCAATTCCTGTGGGCTCTCTGCAATAAGAGATTACTTTTTGCCTTACAGAAAGTAAAACAAAATAAAATGAAAAAAATAAAATAAACATGTTTGATCAATCCTGGGATTCAGAGAGCTCTGTTATTTTCTTTTCAGAAGTGGTATCTTAAGCGTTACACTATCATAACTTAGAATTTTACCTCAAAATAGAAATCTCTTTAGCATAACTTATAGCCACTGAAGCATATATCTACACATATATATTTATTATATGAGTGTTATATATGCATATATATGCATATATACATATATATATGTATATGCATATATGTGTACAATATATATATAATTCACAAGCTGAATTCTCTCAATTGTGATGGTCAATCCAAATCCTTTTCTATTTTCTTTCTAACACAGAAGCATGACAGGCAGCTTTGATTTAACACTTCCTCCACTTCAACGATTCTTAAGTTTTTTGTTGTTATGGTACTTTTCCTTTCTGGTAGGGTAACTACTAGTTCTTTTGGTTTTGAATGGCTTTTACTTATTAATTAATTACCTTTTTTAACCTAAATCAATGACTTCTTTTCTAAAGTGTCTTTTTCCTGGTACAATTTTCTGAAATAATTTTTTTAAAAGGCATTGTTGACTAGGACAGGAATTCCTGTCCCAAATCCATGCTCCATATTCGCAGTCTGTTCACCCAACCCTGCAGGACGTGAGGACCAATAATAAAATGGAGGCTGAGGTGAGGGCCATAAACTTCACCATGGTAGATTCCCAATTCTAATACAGTTTCCGTCATGTTTTAATGACCACATGCCTTCCCTAAAGCATTAAGCGGTGTGGCAAAACAGGTAATTTCACACTTGTGTCAAGAACAAACAATGCCCATGCCTCCATTTCATAATTTATTTTTTTCGTTTGTGCAATAAATCTTTTACACAAGATATAGCACAAATAACAGGAGGCGTCTGAAGATATAAGAAATAATATTCTCACATCCCAACTGTGGGCTTGAAGGTGTGTCAAAGGAAAATTCAGACCAGGTTTCTCAAACCCAAATGCCTCTTGGGGCTTGGCAGGAAACATAAACACCAGGTGGGGTGGAGACATTTACAGGTAAAAATGTTGCCTGCTGCCCCCAAAGTGAAGGGAACAGCAGCCACAGACAGGGATTGGTGACATGCAGTAACAGTGGCCCCAATTCCCGGTATCTCAGGAGATACTGGAAACCAGGATTTGCGTTTTAAAATACTGCACAATGTTTTACCCACTGCAGAGACCTAAAAAGGTATGTCCATGGGTTGGATATACTCTGGACATCCCTATACTGATGACTATGTCTAATCCAGGAGTGGACATAAATCTACAGGATGAGGCACATTTGCTAGGTATTTACCTGTGAGCTCCCTTTTGATGTTGGGAAGGTTGGCTGGACAGGAGTTGCTGATGGCAAGGCCTGGTGGGGGCAGGCCTTGGTTTCCATAAAGGTCAATCAAGTTTCCCGAGACAGGTAACTAGAGAGAGGGAAACGGTAACAGAAATGAACTGATGAACAATTCCTAAGTTTTTCAGGTAAAACCCATATCCCATTCCAGGATTTATTTAAGAAAAATGAATTGATACAAAAAGTTGTTTCTGGCTGGGCACGGTGGCTCACACCTGTGATCCTAGCTCTCTGGGAGGCCAAGGCAGGAGGATCACTCAAGCTCAGGAGTTTGAAACCAGCCTGAGCAAGAGCGAGCCCCTGTCTCTACTAAAAATACAAAGAAATTAATTGGCCAACTAAAAATATATAGAAAAAAAAATTAGCCAGGCATGGTGGTGCATGCCTCTAGTCCCAGCTACTTGGGAGGCTAAGGCAGGAGGATTGCTTGAGCCCAGGAGTTTGAGGTTGCTGTGAGCGAGGTTGATGCCACAGCACTCTAGCCCAGGGAACAGAGTAAGGCTCTGTCTCAAAAAAAAAAAAAAAATTGTTTTGTTTTTTTTTTAAATAGGAAAACATGAGATTTTACTTTTTCATTCACTCACAGAGTTACATAGTCTCCTTAGCTAGTTCCCCGTCAGACAGGACAGGACAGAGTCTCACACCGAGAATATGGTTATACCACCTAGCTGATGGGTTTATTTTGAGCATGGAAACAACGGATAATATGGCGAATGCATTGTCTAGTACAACTAGTAGGATATAGTGGATATTCAGTAAATGTCGGCTATTATCATAAAATAGGATTCTATGTGGGATGTCCTTTTTCACCAAATTGGTTTTTTTTTTATAAAAGTCAATGTTCTTCCTTCCCTTTCTTCCTCACTCCCTGCTTCTTTCTCTTTCTTTTATAAGGAAAAGCAATAAAAAATGTTTTCTTATTGGAAAAGAAATTCTTTCCAAAAAAGAAAAGGCAAGTTTCCTTGTAATTGAAATTTTTCACAAAGCCACAAGAGGGAGCCAAGAGACTTTAAAAAAAGAACAAAATTTACACTTTTTAAAAAAAAGTAAAAGGAAGAAGAAAAGAAATATTTAGGTTTCTCAAGCTATCTTGGGAGTTTTTTCTCTAGTTCTGAATTGGATGTTTTAAAGTAGTGAACTTGTTTTTTCCCCAACATTTTGGGACTTTCTTTTGTTGTATATGTGTTTTCCTTGTAAAACTAGCCGGTTGCAATAGTTTTAAACACATGCCCATTTTTGTAGAAGAGGTCCAAGGTGATTCCTCTTCCCATGTTATGAAATGAAGTTCAAACTATTAACTATGGAGAAATAATTAAGTGACCTTCATTTCTGCTTACAAACAACAGTTTCCAGAGTCAAACAACTCCTATAACCATGATTACAGGCTAAGACTTTATGTCATTTAGCCCTTCCCTTTCCTGATTTCACACTCTGAATTTTACTCTACATCTGAGAAAAGTAAATTCAGAAAGCAATTAAGTGTGAGTAAAGTTTTTAGTGACCAAGAGGTATCTAGTAAAGACTGCACTCAATAGAGTACCTTTCATCCTCTCAAATGACCATGGACATATAGGTGCAAATACACCATGAAATCACAATAAAATCAAACGCGTTTCCCCTCATTGGCAGCCATTTGCAGCTATTCCTATGATGGGGGCTAAATGTATACTCTATGAACTAAAGCCCGAGCTAAAGAGATGGGTTGGGGGGTGTGGACTAAGCTACTTCCCTACAGGTGAGTCTGACACTGGCTCTAGTAGGGTTGGGAGGGAGGCAGGGAGGACAGACACACCAGCAGCGCTCAGCTCTCAATTTTGCTCTTTTCTGAAGGTAGCATTTACAGTATGGGCATAAAACGCAACACACACAGCCCCTACACACATGCAAAAAAAAAAAAAATAGACATTGCAGTCATTTAAAATGCCCTTGAACCACATTTCAAGGCCTTCTAACTAAGGAACTGATAAAAAGTGACTTTGATTATTAGCTGTCATGTCACTAAGTGGTTTTATTTGAAATAGGTCACCTTCTCAGGGTCAGCCTTACTCTGTGTGTCTTCGGTTTTATTCTTGCCCAGTTGAGCACAAAGCGAAAGGAGCTCACATGTTTGAACATAGCACTATAAAGGGCCAGGGAGTCAAAACTTATAAAGCTGTTATGACATCTGATAACTCTTCTGGATCTTCCTTGAGTTTCAGATTTGGGGAGAACCTCTGGGTTTGAATAAACCAAGAATGTGACTTGAAAATTCAAAGCAATAAGCTAAAAAAACAAAATTATTCCCCTAGTTCTAGAAATACAAATTATGTTTTCATATGCAAATCATATGCAAAACATGAAAGTGTGTTGTTATGATTATTTGTTAGGGGTGAATAATAGCAGGTGCTACATATCTGTAAGTTATCAATGGATCTACATTGAACAGACATCTACTTCTAAGCTGCTCTGGAACAAGAACATATTTTCTAACTATTCTAAAAAATAATGCACAGACAAGGTGGGAAAGAGAGCAGACTGGGGTTGGAGGGACACAGAGAGAGAAATGGGCTGGGAGGGATGAAAAGCCACAGAGAGGACTGCTGTGATCAGCATGGACTGAAAGCAGTGCCACCAATAGGGGAGATGAATTAAAAGCTCGATGACAAGACGCTCCATCAGGCACTATGTGGAGGTCAGACAGAGTTACTTCCAGTCAAAAAGACAGCTTATATCTCTATTTCTCTAAACATTTCCTGCATTGGCTGCTTTTCCAATACTTGCTGATTAGGAGAGGGCTGCTTAGAGCATGCCAGAACATTTTGCCAGGGATCATCTAATTTTGCAGGTGCCTACTTTGGGCCAGGTGCAGAACTAGAACAGCATTTTGTACATGTTATCTTACTGATTTCTACAGAAGGAAAAGCCAAGGTTCTTACCATGGCTGCATGGAGGATTTTGGAAGGAGGCCCATGTCCCACGTCCTATGTTAACAGCAATAACAAGGGGCAGTGTCAACATGCTGATTTTCAACCAGTTAGACACTACAATTTTCAATTTATCTCCAACTGGGCCTGAGGAAATAAATACCTAGTTGCTCACTGGCCAAATATGGACTCTCCAATCTCTAATAGTGCAGAGATGAACAGCCTGTGCTTAGAAGTCAAAGACCCAGATAAAAATTCTGCCTGTTACTGACTTGCTGTGCAATCTCAGGCCAGTTTTCTGACCTCTCTGAGGCTCAGTGTCCCCATTAGAAAAGTGGCAATTATTCATGTCACAGGGATATAAGATTTAATAGAGATAAAGCAGGAAAAACACAGTGTCTCTAAGTGATCAATGCAGTAGCTGCTATAATAATTCAGTATTATAATTTTCTAGAAAGTACCGGATTTGCACTTTACAGTTTGGGCAGTCGAGCTATTTTCACTTTGATCAACAAAACCATCTGCCATGTTAATGACTAAGTATAGTCACCCTTTAGACCAATTTTACCAGACTGCAATGCAGGTCAAAGCGCAGGAATCAGGGAGTCTGCAGGGCGAAGGTGACCACTCATTATCCCAAATCAGGGCTTCTCCACTACGTGTGATTTTTGTCCCCTGGGGTCAATGTCTGGAGACATTTTTTGTTGTCACACCTTCGGGCAGGTGCCGCTGGCATCTAGTGGACAGAAGCCAGGGATGCTGCTAAATGTCCCCAAATGCTCAGGCAGCCCCCCTACAATAAACACTCATCCATCCCAAACGTCAACGGTGCCACAGTTCAGAAACTGCGTCCTAATGGTGGCATATGTCCTTTGTATTAATGGCTATTATTTGCTGAAGCTACTAAAAGGAAGGTTGATTAAAATAGTGTAAGCTTTCTAATTAAAAAACAGTCTCCTAGTTAGGCATTAGAATGAAAGGATTCTGTGGTTCTTCTTCGGAGTTAGAGAAATTCATCCATAAATACGGTTATTAGCATCGTAATTAGGTCAAAACAACACCTTCGGAGCTAAGAAAGGGGAAAAGACATCTTCTGTTAACATTGATGTCTTGCATCTTTGCTGGGTTTTTATCCAGCACATTAACCTGATGGACAAGATTCTCCTTCCCGAGCACGAGCTGCACAATGGACAGACGAGAGCCACACAGTCTAACTGGGACAGATAAAGAGAAGGTGCCTTAGTTGTGCGTGGTCTGAATTGATTTCTTCAATGTGGTGCTCCACCAAAATGAATATTTTTCCAAGTAAACGATAATTGTAAAATGTTATTATTTTTTTCCCTCTGGATGGCCCCCTTCTCTGAATATCAATTGAGCACTGTTAACACGAGCAAACTGGGACTTTTATTCTTTGTTTGTGATGGTACAAGAGGGCCCTTGTGCTCTCAGAATAGTTATTTCTAGACTTCAATTCCCTTAGGGTAGTTTCCTCTCTGAGTGTTCCTTCCACTTTATTTTTTTAAGTAGTTAACTTGAAATAAAGCATTTCAAAGAATCAAATAAAAGTAAAAAAAAAAATGCCTAACATGAAGAACATTGAAGTTAAACTTTACTGTGGGAAAAAAAGTTAAAATGTGCATGGGTTGCAGTAGCTTTTTATTTAATTTTGACAACTGAAGCCCAAGAGTAAGAGCTAGCAACCAACCTTTAGTGAGAGTTCATCGGGCTAAACTGTTTTAAATGGTTTTTGTGGATGGTCTCTTATCATTCTCACATTAATTCTACTGCAACAGATGCTATGGGTATCCCCCCATTGTAGACAAAGAAACTGAGGCAGCGAGGTCCAATAACTCATTCAAGAGAATGGATTCAGGTATCTGGCTCAGAGTGTGGGCTCCTAACCTTGAACTTATACTGTCTTTCCCCAAATAAGAAAATGTTGAAATAGCTTTGTTGTACGAAGATTCCCGATGGGGCCATATTTAGCCTTTTACAACATGGGAATATAGAACAGAAACGGACGCTGGCACAAAGTTACTGACTTCTTAGGGTGGCTTCTGGGTACACCTCTCCTATCTGGGATTTTTTTTTTTCCCTTCCTTAAGGCAGGGTCTCTCTCTGTTGTCCCTGCCTGGAGTGCAGTGACCTCATCATAGCTCACTGCAACCTTGAACTCCTGGGCTCAAATCCTCCTGTCTCAGACTTTCAAGTAGCTGGGACTACAGGTGCGCACCACCATGCCCTGGTAATTTTTCTATTTTTTGTAGAGATGAGGGTCTCGCTCTTGCTCAGGCTGGTCTTGAACTCCTGGCCTTGAAGCGATCCTCCTGCCTTGGCCTCCCAAAGTGCTAGGATTACAGGTGTGAGCCATGGTGGCACCCGGCCCTGGCTGGGAATTAATTCAACTCTGCCCAGGGGATCTTTCCTATTTGGAAATTCCCTTGAGATGGCCTCTCTGTGCCTGAATGACCCTCCTCCACTCGAGGGTGAAAGGAGTCTCCCCTTCTGGACTGGTAGGCCCCACGAGAACAGGGAGCGTACCTTCCCTTCCCATCCACGGCACCTCACCCAGCGCATGCCCCCGTGGGGCGCAGTAATAAATGCTAAGTCAATCTTTAAAGTAGCTCAGGAGCAGCTAGACAACAAGACCTCAATGCTAGAGACTCGGGGACTCATTCTAAAGGAGAGAAGGGGTTCTAAAGGGGTCATTCTAAAGGGGTCAGGACTCGTCTTGTGGAAAAGTTTTCCATGAAGCAAACTGGGACTCATGCTGGAACTGACAGGGAGACTCGTTGCGAGGGCTATCTTGGTCATTAAGTGTAATCTTATTCTAACATAAAGCCCGGCACATTAGAGCGCACGAAGAATATCAACTGGACAAACAAATACCATTAAAATTATTTGAGATTGTAATTAATAAATTACACTTAATAATCTAGATAATGTTACTGAGTGCCACTTATGTTCCCAGTGCTAACTGCTATACATGCTTTATCAAGTGAAATAACCACGTGACGTTATTTAACAGCCCCATTTCACAGATGGGGAAACAAGGAACTTAGAGAGGCTAAGCTAACATGCAAGGCCACAGAGCAAGTGACAGACTTGGGATTTGAACCCAGGTCTGGTTACAAATCTCTAAATCCTAACCGTTGTGTTTTCCTGCTTCACTAGGAAGGCAGGGAAGATAGATCCTCCATCGGAGGTTTCCAAGAAGCTAGATGCCTGATTTTTTGGTGGGGAATATGATGGATACGCAAGAGGAGGTTAATGCATTGGGTAATAGGCTGGATCAGGGGACTTCAACGGTCCTCATAATTGAAAAAAGAAAAAAAAAAATCAATGATTTTACAAAATCATGTCAATTTTACAGTCTGACCACCGTCACAGAAAAGTTCTTTTGAGACACTGGGCCATTGTTAATTAATGCTGTTAGAACAGTGAAACACTGTAAATACACCCAAGTCTTGGGGTGTATTTATAGATTCCCTAGTGCAAGCTCCCCCAAGTGTTTTGCTCATGTTCATGCTAGCTTCTGACTGCTGACAAGAGTAGTTTGTCTCCTGGGATGCACCAATCTGGAAGCAGAAGGGGTCCGTGGAAGTCAACCAGGGATCCAAGAAGGTGAGAAGGGTCTGTCATGGAAACATTTATCAGAGCAGCAGAACATTCGGACCTTCCAAAATCAGGGGATGAGTTTAAATGGGTGGGAAGCAGACAAACTCTAAATATTGTAGAAGAAGCTTAGAGGTTTCAAGGGAAGTCCTCACCCTGCAAGAGTTCAAGTAAGTGAACTTAAGGAACTAAATCAAGATGGAAAAGAAAAAAAAAATGCCAATGATAAGACTCGATTTGCTGAAGGATTTTGGTGTAAATAAGTAAGGGCTATCTTGTTCCTTGGCCAAGAGAATTTGCTATTGGAAGTTCATCTTCCTTTTAAAAAATGTTTTATTACGGTCAAAAATAACCACATAATATAAAATTTGGCGTCTTAACCATTTTTAAGTGTACAGTTCCGTTGTGTTACATATATTCACACTGCTGTGAAACAGATCTTCAGAGTTTTTCATCTTGCAAATGTGAAACTCCATACCCATTAAACAATAATTCCTTCCTTCCCCCTTCCCCTCAATGGATGTTAGTCTTTAAAACACTATTTATTAAGTATTGGTAGTATCACTGCTCTCAGAGAAAACAGAATATGATTGGTGTGAGCCTTCAAAGTACCAAGCAGGCCGGGCCTTGACACAGCCAGGCTGTGTAATCTTGTACAGGACCGTCTAACCAAGTGACAAACCAAAAATCAAAGGCTACAGTGCCATCCCAAGTTGACTCACTGAATTATTGCAAGGACTAAGTAAGATCTGCTATAGGACTTTGGTAAAACAACAACATTAAAAAAAAAAACAAAAAAACACAAGGAGTAAAGGAAAATCAATAATATAGGCAAGACTCCAAATTATAGAAAAAAATAAGTAACATACAAGAGAACATATGACCACTGTGTCTTAAGAACCAAAATTGGAATCAATTTTGCTGGTAAAGAAAAGTAACCCCAATGGGCCTCTGCCACTTATGAACAGTGAAAAAACACCTTCTCTGAAAACGGCATTAACTTTTTCAGGCTAACCAAAACAGCACTGTGAATAGCACGATCCGCAGTGGTCCCTTGGCTGCAGGGTACTAAGTTGGGCCTGAGATCCAAGTGGGGATGGTTTAAGGCTTAACGTTCCACCGCAAGTATCCTTCGTCTCCAGGGAATGGTAGGGCTTTATCACGGGGTTACTGACAAACTCATCAAAAATTCTTAATTTCCAATGTCAAAGTCACTTATGTGTGATTCTGGGATATTTCTCCATTTTATCATTAGCTAATCTCTTAATGAATATGTTGCAAAGGTAAAGTCTAGGAAAAGAGGGCAGAATATTAGAAATGTCTCTCAAGATTTTCTTTAAGAAAAAAGATCAATACCGTATTTGCCATTTGCAGGGCAGGATCCATCAAGCCCAGGATTTCTTCATTATAACTTGATTCTAGGCTAATGATGTCATCAATTACATCATCCATCTGTAGGAAAAAGGGCAATGGAAGAGAGAGAAAGAAATAAACAAAAACCACGCAGTGCAACCCCAAAAGAGATCCATGGCCCTTGCTTATCCAAAGCAATAATATTCTTCATTTAGAGTCTGTCCTCTTCCCACTAAAGTGAAAATATAACTAAAGACCATTAACACTACTGAGTGATGAGAATGATACTTGCAGCCAGCCTTAAATGAATGATTATGAGGCACCAAGCACTGGGCTCAGGGATTTTCATAGGCTAAGTTATTTCTCCTGACAACAACCCTAGCAGGGCTGGTACTACTGTGATAGCGATTTTCCAGGTGAAATAAATGAGAAGCAACTTGACCAAAGCCACACACGAAAGGATTGTTGGAGCAATGATTTAGCTGATGCTCTCCACGACCATGCTAACCTGCCTGCCCTGAACTGGAAAGATGAACCAGGAAACTTCTATCTCGAATGACAGTTGCCACTTCCTTTTTTCCCTCTAAAGACTACGCCTCGTGCCCTTCCCTCACCCTTCTTGGAGAAGGAAAACGCAGATGGCCATTCAGTCCTCTGGTTTCCTAGGCACGTGTGGGGACTGTGGTTCCCAGGCCACTGGCTAGCCCTGTGCTGATGTCACTTGTAAAGTAAGTTTCTCTTGGTACAGCTGCCAGCGTGCTTGCTACCCCAAGGAGTATGCAAGGGCGGGGTTATCATTACAGCCGTGGAGCTGACATTCCCACTAGATCAATTTTATTCCTGAAGTACCAAAACATCAGTTATGATGATAAACAACAGTGATTACATGTGCATTGCAGCAGTTGCAAAGACAAGCCTGTGGAAACATTTCTTCGTAAACACCCTCCGTATCTGAGCTAGCCGGTGTGTCTGTGCTTGGGTCTGAATAGCGCTTCGTGGGCACGCGATGACACTCGGGACCCACGGGCATGCTCTTCTGTGTCTTTCTGCCACTCCCACTGAAGAGGGGGAGCTCCAACTGCACAGGGCTGGGGCTGCAACCCCGGTTCTCCCACTTTCTAGCTTAAGGGCAAAGCCCCTAATCATTAAGAGCCTCGGTTTGTCAATCCGGAAAATGGGTGTTAATAATATTTATGGCCTTATTGGATTCTTGTGAGATTTCAGCACAAACCATATAAAGTGTTCACAGTGCCAGGAATATAGTAAACACTTTAAAAAATGAGTATAATTAAGTGATCCCTGAGAAGAATAACTGGCAGCCAGTTAGAAATAACTGTGGCACACTATTTGTTAGGTTCCATTACTAAGTACACTTTTATTTGTTGTGTTTGTCTTTAAGAGATGAGTTTCTAATTGAGTTGGTCAGGAAGCAAATAGGCTAAGGGACTTAAGAGCAACCTTTCTTTGTGATTTTTAATTTCATTTTGAGGGAAATAAAATTAGTGGGCTTGATGTGATAGCATTTTTAGAATAATCTTTTTTCTCTTATGACAAAAGTAACCCAATTTGATGGAAAATATAGAAAAGCAAAAAAAAAAGTTTTCTGTTGCTTATAATTCTCTCATATGTCTATAATACACATAAGTATATAAATGGATATAGCATAATTTTATGTATCCATTAAATAGGATGTTATAGAAGCAACTTTTATTACTTGGGAAAATACCCATTAAATATTATTAAATTAATAAAGTTTCAAAATATATGTTCCATGATATTCCATTTATAAAACAATATATAGGTCATACACACATACTTCCTGGTTTTACTAATATCCTTTGACAATTGTTACCCTACAAATTTGCATGACATATATACTGATGATGGTACATAAATGAAATATGGTATTTTATGTCTTATTTATTAAAGTTTATGTATTTGAAACACTTTTTGGTGATTTAAAGCAACTTAGGGGAAAAATCACAGGTTTTAAGTTTAATTTCTGTAGTCATTATTTAATCATGAGATACTAGGAAGAAAATGGCCCTGTCCTTAGTTTTCCCTACTTTAAAAAAAAAAAAAAATCAATGGGGGGGAAAAAGCCTTAAGTCATCAGGAAGGTGTGATCAGCCGCAAATAGAGATTCTCATCACAGAGTGTCACATCCTCCGGCTGCCGGGTCATTCAGTACCTGCATACACGACGCTCGTGAATGCGTGTTCATGCCTGGGCACTCGCTCTCCGCCCTGTTTTGCTCTTCAAACTTATAAAACCCCTGCAGAAACACAAGCAGAAACAGCCCATTGACTTGGATTTGCAAACGGCTTTTCAATGACATGTTCTCATGAGCCCAATGACACGGCCACAAGATGAAATAAGCTTTCAGACAAAGTGGAATTGGACCAAGAGATGAAAGAATGAAGGCAGAACTTGTGTCAAATCGTCTTGCTAGATAGATGGCCGATAGGGCGGTTGGCATAGGGGAAAAGACTTAGTCCCTCTAGAAACTAAAACCAATCCAGCGTTAGAAAAGTCGCCTCTGAACTTGCATAAACATTTCAGAGTGCAGTAAAATTCCACTAAAATGAAGCTCATCATCTCATAATTTGGAAATAACAGGCATTAAATCACAACTCTCCTCTCTCAAGTATTTTAATGCCCCAAATTTTGATGCAACAATTAGCTTGAAGGTATGTTTGAGTCTTGTCTCCAATCCAGCCTTTACAAAAGCAGATTTAATGGGCAGTGGCAATTTTATCATGAAACGGAATGTATCCAGCAATTAAACTTTGGCTTTTCTGTTAAGTTCTCAAGTGCTATTATTATTCAAATCCATCCATGTACATTCTATGCTTTTTTTTCCCCCCCCAACTCAGGGAGAAATAAAAATAATATTCTAGACATTCACAACAAGCGGAACTTCTAAACCTCCTGTCCCACACCTTTTCTATTTTTGCCTTCCCTTTTCCACCTCCCCTTCTCCTCTCTGCATTTTCACTGCTCCGTGAGCTGAAAGGCATGGAACAGAAGACAGCACTCAGCTAACGAAGACACGCTCCACACAGAGCAAGCCAGGTCTCCGGCCATACGCCCTGAACCCGATAACCCAGAGACGGGGACAGGAGGCTGGAGGGCCACAACCACGCTGGCACAACGGGACAAGGGCTGTTGAGTGCGGCCACGTGGACAGACTCCAGTCCATAATTAAGGGCGGGAATAATATCCAACAGACAAGTCATTCAGTGTAAGGAAACAGGAGAGAGGAGAGGAGACGTGAATTACCTCTTTTTCACAGTTGGAGTTAAGCGTAAGCATGGCCATGGGGCTGTTGGGCGCGCTGCTCCCCGGCACCGGTGGCATGACATGGTCGCCAGGCTGGTTTGGACATGGTAAGCTCAGGACTTGGTTGGCATGTTTATTTGCTAAAGTGGTAGAAAGGTACTGCTTTACCTGCTGCCTTTGGGCTTGCTGTATGTGGTACTTGGTGGGGTTTTCGAGGTGGGTCTGCACCTGAACATAGCCATGGGGGGGGAAAGAAGACGGTGTTGTTATTTTTGAGTTTCAGACAGTTCCTCTTGCAGGCACAAATATGAAACTGACCGGTCCACCAACAGAATAAATGATTAAATCCCTGCTGTGTGCCAGGCAGGCACCGTGCTAACGGATTTTGATGTTATTGCAGTTGAAAGTCTAACTCCTAGGATTTGGGGGTAATACTTTGCCCTATTTTATTTCCCTGCTAATTAATTATACATCTCTTTCAAACCTTGTGCCCTTCTTTTCCTATCTAATAATTAAAAGTTTGAAACTATCTGCAGGGCAAAAATTTCCCCAACACACTTGAAAGGGTTTATTAAGATCAAAACAACAATCTAGAAGGAGGCGTTATAACTCAGTTTATTTCACTTTCCTTGGCAAACAGAACAGCTTTCTGTTAGAAAAAAGAAAAAGACTCCTTAAGAACCAACTGTAAAATGATTGTAGAAAATAAATAGAAACATTCTGATGATTAAATCAGGTAGCTGTGGGTTAATTCCTCCCACTTTCATTTGGACATGATTATTCAACATTTTAATTAAGAAAGAATTCTAGGTAAAAAGCAATTCCACATTAAGCACTTTCTTTCGAATGCATAACACTTATATGTATGTGTTTTTAAAGGCATAACTATCGGTAAGCCACCAGGATACTTTGTCTCCTTTTCTATAAACATTATACAGAATTAGAAATGCTTTTATTTCCAAAACCATGATACTCAATTTAAAGTCACTCTTTCTTTGATAAACACAAATGACTCTTACGAGCTATGAACAGGAGCTGATGAAGAGAGTATAGCCACACACTAGGGAAAAAACATATCCTTCTAATATTTACGTTGTTCAAAACTACATTGAATTACTTCTTATGTCATCCAACAATAGACAGCATTAAAAGAGTAGATTTGTACTTATCGAAAACAGTGTGCCTGTTATAATAACATTAAAAGGTGGATTAGTCAATTTATTGCATTATATTTCAGAGACTGAATATGAATAAGAATAAAGCTCACCTGATAGTGATTGTATTCTAGCATTTCCAGCATAATAATGTTGCAGGTGGCCCCAATCCAACGAGAGAAACGGGTAGACTATTCTTCCCTCTACTTTCTGTAATTCCAATTCGAAGACTAACTGGCATAGAGAAGGCACTATAAACAAGGTATCCCGAGACACCACCGGAAACTTTATCACAGCAGCCCTTCTTATAATAACCTAAGCTAATTAGTTATGCATGTAAAAAAAAAAAAAAAAAAAAAAACAACCTCATTCACACAAGGGGCTTTTTTTTTTTTGGAAGTCCTACGAGTTTGGTCTTAAATATTGATATCAATTTTTCCCCCTGGCTTGACGTCACGCTTTTTTTCATAAATACAAAAGAACCTTTTTAAGTGATGAGCTATCAAAGTCAAACTCACTGTCAGATCAAGGCCAATTCACTATTCAGCTTTAGTTCCAGTAGTATTAATAGACAATTGGTATTTCTCTTTCTGTCATAGGTTCCAATAGCGGGATGACCCCCCTTTGCAGGAGACAGAGCCTAGAAGCTGCCGTTACCCTAGACTATCCTAACGGCCGAGTCACTCTGCCACTTCCGGCTGCAGGGCGGCCACCTTGCAGTATGGAAGAGAATCCGTGCTGCACCTTCCAGTCAAAGCTGCTTCTTGCATCCTGGTTCTCAGTGTGTACCTATTCTTAGCTGGGTGGATTATAACTTGCCTACTGACCTGACATCATGAATAAGGGGAATTATCCTAAATAGAATGCAACACACACTCACACACACATACACACACACACACAAATTGGACTCAGATTTATGTGAAAAAAAGAAACAAATGTCTCTCCAACTCAACTCTTCAATGGGGAAGCATGAAAATTTTTACTAAAAATATTTACTGAAAATTTTACAATCCTTGGGTCTAGAAAAGAATGAATGACCCTATAGGACAGCTGATGCACTTATACATTTATTTGTTCCATTTATTTACTGTTGTTATGTGTTAAACACTACACAAAGCATAGACTATGTATTGTGAACACACAGAATGTGTGTTCTGTGAAAAGAGGCAAACTATTAATAATATAAATCTAAATATGATAATAAATGCTTAATACTCACTGCTGAAATGGAGAGATGATATTTTAAGCATAAAAATCTGAAATTCAGTAATTTTTGTCTACATGCCCAGGATAATGAAGTCCTTTAGGTTGACAATCTCAAAAGTGTTTCAAATGACCGATTTAACATGCACACAGAGGTTCACAGAGACGTTTTAAGTTTCATAAAAGGGTCCAGACACGATAATGATGAGGACAACAGACATGACTAAAATAAACATAAAATGAGGGCAGTGAGTGTAATGTGCTTATTTCACTATTACACTTAAAAAAGAAAGAGCTGCACATTTAAAAATAAATGTTAATTCACTGCAGATCCTTATTCTTTAATGAATCAGAACATAATGCTTCAGTAAGAAAAAAGCAACCTGCTCTCTATTTGGCGCTGTCTTTACTACAACTAGGATTGGGTAAGCAGAGTGGGATGCAGTTTGTTCTTTTATTGTCAATGTCTTTTTAGTTTTCAAATACGTTAGAAGCAGACGGCCCACAAACACTATGCAGTAGACGGAACATCTCCAGCTGTTTCCAACCCAGACTCCTCAAACAGGTGACACGAATGAGGGTACGAGCAGCGAGGCAATAAGGAGCAGCGAGGCCTGGGCAAACCAGAGGACACGAGTCTCATCATCTAAGGGGAACAGCGGATCTAAGCTGCACCTGCTTATGGCCATCAGGAATACCGGTTCAGTCTAGCCAGATCTCCCAATTTTTCAAGGGTAGCTGGCAATCTGAACTTCTTTTTTAAGTGAAATCCTCTTACGTTTAGAAAATCGACACCCCATTGTTTTGTTTTTCATATAGTACAAGACTCAGCCCACAAACCACTAGTACGTGGTCTCCGTTTTACATCATCTGTGAGGATATTCTTCATATTTACATTCCCAGGACGATGGCTTAGATTTTGAGAAATTTCTCTTCTGTTAAGTTAATGTCCAAATCCAGGCGTTTCTTGGCACTTCTTTGAGAAATAACATGCCTGACTGCACAGTCAGCAGAGTAGTTAAGAACTGGAAACCTGGGTTTGAATTCTGGCTTTGCGACTTACTACTCACGTGACCTTCTGCAAGCCATTCACTTCTCCAGGCCTTCCTCTCCTCATATATCCAACGGGAATGATCACAGCGCCTTTTTCATTGGGGTGTTTTCAGCATTAAACGAGAGATCGAGTCTCTAACACGCTTAGCAAATAAGTATCTAAGCAGTTCTCAAACTTTATTGTCTTAGGACCCTTCTATATTCTTAAAATTTATTGTTTATATGGATTCTATCTATCAATATTTACTGATCAGGAATTAAAATCAAGAAATTCTGAAAACACAGGACTGCATACACTAGCACGTATCTCACTGGATGTCACAATAATGACATCTTAACGTGTCATGTAGCCTTTGAAAAACTCTACTGTGTGTTGGTGAAATGAGAGTGAAAAAGAAAAACAGCATCTTAGTATTATTCTGAAATAGTTTTGACCTGGCAGAACCTCTGCAAGGGTCTTGGAGACCAGCAGGGCTCCCTGATCACACTTTGGGAACCACTGACCTAGAATACAGTTGGCATCGCCCCTGCCCCAGTGGACTGGTGGCATGTGACAAAGGTCTGCAGGTCCCACCTCCCTCACCCAGAAGATGCGACGGAAAGATACCAAGCCTGCCCGAACTCCCTCAAAGCATTATTACGAGGCTGTACAGCCCTCTGACAATTTTAAAAGGTGTAAAAGTACAACTCTTTATCTTCAACCATCCTAATTCATAGCTTTTTAGTTAATAACTTTGCTCTCATTAATTTTAAAACAGCCAATCAAACAAGCATGCAAATGAGAATATACATAGTGTTACAGAGGATGGAAACATCTTCATGATTTCCTGATAATTTCTGCATGTTTCTGACCTTCCAATCAACTACCCACATCCGAAGAATTCAGATAGCAAAGGTTGGGTGTTGCTGACCAGTTGAAGCACACAACACAAAATAAAGCTAGGGTACTTCCTACTCTAACCGTAATATAGCATTTATTGATGTAATTTTTATTTCACACGTTAGCTATCTTAATTAAAGTGCAAAAATCCAAAGGCTTTGGGACTTTTCTTGTTACCACTTCTATCTTTTTGTCTCTTTTCCCTTTCTTCATTCAGATGTTGAATGGATAGCAGGAGGATTGGGACGGATCACCTTCTAACTGTCATGCTTTTGCTTCGCCACTTCCTAGACAGCACTGACAGGTTATTTTCCATCCGCCTCACTCTACAGAGATCCCAGCGCACATCACGAGCCAATGTAGGATGGTGGCTGCAGATACCACCATCCTAGCTGACAAAAGAATTCACTGGGGGGAAAAAATCCCCATCTGAAAGTCCGATGTCTTCTCCTATTTGCAAACAAGAATCTCAGTAAAATTGAGCAAAGATTTCCACAATCCATTTATAACTAATTTTTTTTAACAAGTCAACAAAGTATTCAGATTTCTTACTTATTTTTTTTTTCATCATATTATGGAAGTACAAATATTGTTAGGGTTATGTTTAAGGGAGAGAATTTATTCTTCTGTTCAGCAAGTTTAAAGGAAACTAAAGGGATTATCATTTAGTCAATTGCTGTCCACGGGCAGCACCACACCAGGACTCTCTCCATACTGTTTCTTAAATGGCAATTTACAGAAAAGGTCAATGATACAATCATAATCTCTGAAAAAATGGTAAAATAGAAAACGCCAGGCCAAGTGGAGTGGCTCACGCCTATAATCCTAGCACTTTGTGAGGCCTACATGGGAGGATTGCTTGAGGTCAGGGGTTCGAGACCAGCCTGAGCAAGAGTAAGCCCCCATCTCTACTAAAAATAGAAAAATTAGCTGGG